GTCATTTATCTCTCCCGAGGTTTCTGTTGCTTTTTGTTTAGCTATGCCCTATTCCCAGAGATGGAGTCTACAGAGACAGGCAGGCCCCCTTGAGCTGAGGTGGACTCCACCCAATTCACGCTTCCCATTGGCTTTGTTTACCTACTTAAGCCTCAGCAATGGCAGGTGCCCCTCCCACAGCCTCACTGCTGCCCTGCAGTTAGATCTCAGACTGCTGTGCTAGCAATGAGGGAGGCTCCATGGGTGTGGGACCCTCCCGTCCAGGTGTGGGATATAATCTCCTGGTGTGCCATTTGCTAAGACCCTTGGTAAAGTGCAGTATTAGGGTGGGAGTTACCCCATTTTCCAGGGGTTGTGTGTCTCAGTTTTCCATGGCTAGGAAAAGGGATTCACTTTCCTCTTGCACTTCCCAGGTGAGGCGATGGCTCGCCCTGCTTCAGCTCTCGCTAGTCGGGCTGCACCAGCTGACCAGCACGGATTGTCCGGCACTCCCCAGTGAGATGAACCCGGTACCTCAGTTGAAAATGCAAAAATCACCCGTCCTCTGTGTCTCTCGCACTGGGAGCTGGAGGCTGGAGCTGCTCCTATTTGGCTATCTTGCTCCGGTATCTGTACTACTATGTATTTCTTAAAGTTTCAGACCTTGAATCTTTATTCCCAGTTTATGCTTGTTTTTTGAAAACATAATTTACTTTCACTGCTATACATCTATAGTCATTATGTAAATGAATTTAAAATTTTAGTTTTGATCATGGTCTCTCACCTTTGCTACAAAATTTGATCCTCAATTTTCTATAATAAATTTTTACTTACATATATTACATGAAGCTTGACATCCAGGAGCATGTGAATTAATAAAACCTGGAATACTGTGAAGCAGAATGAACATAGAATTTGAGTTCCAAATATCTGTATTTCAGTCCCAGTTCTACTACTTGTTGTCTATTGCCTTATGTTAGCTGTCTTAGTTTACTGTTGCCTTATATTAGCTGTCTTAGTTTATTCATCTGAACATCCGGAATGTATTACATATCCTACTTACCTTATTGGGTCGTAGTGTTGATCAAATGCGATAATGAATGTAGAAACTTTTTACTGTAACAGAAGTTGTTGCTGTCTCTTTTCCAAAGCTAGGAAAATAAATATTTGCCTATTCTCATTAGCTTTTTTGCCGCACCTAAGATTAGCATAAAATACTGATGCCTTTGGTTTCTTTCATTCCTCAGTCATTCCTTATCCAGGCATTTTCCATATCTATTCCATATCCTTTTGGCATTTGATGTCACCAAACGTCAAAAAGACGATCCAATTTGGGCTGAAAATATTTCTTATCATATACTAGGGTAAAGTTTCTTAAGGTGTGTTGGGGCTGGACTACTTGCTGTCAAAATCAACTGAATATGCTGTTGTGTTAAAAATACAATTACTTAATTCTGCCCCAGACTTGCACACCTCAAGTTTTAGGAGTAAAACTTAGGAATTTAAATTTTAATTCTTTGGGTTTATAAATACCTAGTTCTTTGGTACTTTGTAAGACACTTGCATTTCATTTAGCTATTGTAGTTGACCTTACCAGGTGGGTAGGTTTGTAATTTCTTTTTTTTTT